ACAGGCACGCATTGCCAGGGCCTATGAGCTCCAGGCTCTCCCGGTGCCTCGAGGGATCACTGCACATTCCATTAGGAGTGTGGCTACAACGGTGGCCTGGGCTACACAAGCTTCTGTAGAAGTAATTTGTCATCTTCATAGTCATTCATCCGCCATTATAGACTGGACATGTATTCTTCCGCGCAGGACTTGTTGTGTAGCGAGTGCATGAGGAGATCAGGACTTTGGACCAGAACAGTTCATGCCCATAGGATTGCCAAAGGTTTGGTATGTTCCATTGTGGACTCTCTAGTGAATCCAATGGAGAAGGGGTGTTGGTCTTACCTGAGACACCCTTTCTTGTGGTGCTCGACAGGAGAGTCCAGTCCCACCCTGTTGACTGTCTGATCCAGTTTCCTGGAAGGAAAAAGCTTGGACTGGAGCCGGACTACAAGATTCGCTTCAACTTCATTGTTCAACGGGACCGTTGTCAGAGAGGCATGTCCTCAGAATTTAACTCAGTCAATAGAGCTATGAGACTAGAGCTACCCATCCTGGACTCTCCCGTTGATCACCATGAGAAAGGACATCTCAGGTAAGACTAACGCCCCTTTAATGTAAAATTTGATGATGATGATGATGTTTGCATTTATATAGCTGCCATCTTAAATTGGGCAACTTACAGTAATACATATATTACTAAAAACAAAAGAAATATGTAAGATATAAGGTACAAGCATTTCAGTAAGAACTTTGTATAAAATAAAAACTTACAAATTGCATATGTTGTTGAAAAGCTACCCAATTATAGTTCATTTATCTTAAAAACTTTTTCTTGCCTTGAGCAGTTTTTTCCCCCTAAAAACATGACATGGTGATTTTGCCTGACTGGTTAAATTAAACATAACATTGTTTAACTATTTTAAGAGTGTGCTGCTGATAATTTTATATTGAAGAAAAGAAAGCAGTAAGATGTACAGTCCAGGAACAGTTGTTGAGTAAAGGAGAGTATTTTAAACACACTTGTGTTGAAAAAAACTAGGCAAACTGGTTCCTAATTTTTTTTCACACAACCCCCCCCCCCCAATAAATGTAAGTTTATAATATTCAAAGTTGTAAATTGAAGCTTCATTTAGCATAGGTCAACAGTAATATATGGCTGCTGAGGTTCTTAGGTTGAAAATCTAGATTGACTGGTTAACAAAATAGTGAACAGGTTTAGTTCAGTTGTCTCACAGGATTTTCTTGTTAGAGTGCTCCATGTAGAACAGGAGTGTCAAACTGGATTTCTTTGAGGGCCAGATTAGCATTGTAGCCGGATGGTTGGATGGGAGACAGGACAGACGTCACCTGTAGCACCCTGCTGGCCAAAACGGCATGCCTCCCCCCCCCATGCGGCCCCCTCTGCCCCATTTTTGCCCTGAACTGCCTCCTGTACCACTTTACTGGCCAAATGGGACATGTGAGGCTGCATGTGAATCGTTTTAGCAGGCAGGCCGGTCCTTTGATATTTCCAGGCTGGCCCCATGGATTTAAGCACCTCATGAGCACTATTCAGCACGTGGGTCTTGAGCTTGACATCCCTGATGAAGAAGATTCAAGTTTGAATATTTGAAAGCTCTGTGTGTGCACGTGCGCATGTGAGAGAGATAGAAATCAGAAAGTAATACCTTGTAAACATAACTGGAAGTGACAAATGAAGCATAAAATGTAGTCAAAATATTCCACAAATCAAATTGACCCAGTTTGATGTAGTGGTTAAGACACTATGCTAGAAACCAGGAAGTTTAGAAACTGGGAAATCATAAATTCAAGACTTGCTTTCAGCACAGAGCCACCTGGCTGATCTTGAGTTCCTACCTGCCTCCTTCCTTCTTTCCCTCCCTCCCTCCACTTTGGAAGGGGGCAGTAACAAAGGACTTCTGAAAGTCTTGCCAAGAAAACTGCAGGAACTTTTCTAAGCAGTTGCCAGGATTCAAAAAACTGATTACAGATAATGCTCTGTTAAGAGCCAAATTGGGCGCACAATCTCAGTTGTTGCACAGTAGACATTAAATGAAATGCTGTTTAATGTTTGTGCTCAATAGCTTTCCCCATTTCTCTCAATTTGGTTGTTAAGTCACCATGCAGGTTGTTTAGTGGAGTACTGGGGAGTGAGCTAAGGCCTCTTGTGTGGTGGGGTAGGGAGAGGACCCAGGCATCTCGCTATTCTAGAATCTCTGCACCTTCTCCCCACCCTGCCACGCCTGGGTCCACTTAACTTTTGCATTGTTCTTCAGCTGCTGACTATCAGGTTTGCCTGCTCCATCCTGCATCATGCCCATTCTTATAATAGTTTTGGAGACTTCTTCTCCAAATTGCATTTACCTGATGAAAACCCTAACAAACGCCATTGTTCTGGAAAGCTCAGAAGAATGTTGTTTGCTGCCTTTTTCCCTTTCCAAATGCTAGCACACCATCTTTTTGAATGCTGCCATCTTTCTTAATCTTTCAGGAAACTAGTGTTTTCCTCTCTCCTTGATTGTGGGACAGATAACAGAGAAATTGCAAATGATTATCACATGTTTGCAGAGAACTTGGCAACTGGTGGTAACCTGTTGTCAAGACCCCAAAATGTGGTCACATAACCAGGGTGGCAGCATGACCAATTACAATGGCCGGAGATGCTTTCATTCTGAGATTGTTGTAAAACAATGAGTCATAAGTCATGGATTATCTCTAACAAATCAATCTTTCTTTTTCCATAAAATTTTATTAAATTTATGTACCACTTTTTATTACATTTTAGGGAGCTCCTAAAAATGTATTTCTATACCTAATACTATTTTGTAAAGAGTACAGCTGGTGCTAGTTTTTTTGCCAGAAATAAAGTTTTTATTCTGCTGTTGCTTTACTCTTAAATGTATATTGACTTTAAGTGTCACCTTGCTTGATTTTTAAACTTGCTTATCTTGTAGACCAGTATACATAATCTACTACATGTTCTGGATTAGAAAACAATTGAAGAAGTCCATGATATGCTAAAGTTATTCACTCTAAAGTTGTTGCTTGGGTTAGTCACAAGAATGAATTCTTAACATGGCTTGTGAATAACTTGAGCATGACCCTGTTTGAAAGGATATTGCATAATTACTACAATGTCAATAATGTTCTCCCACCCCCTCTGTCGATGTCAGCCTCTGCTTCGCTACTTGCTTTTGGCTGCCATTGAAATGGGGAGGGGGAGGCATGGTATTTAGGAGGGGAAGTTTTCAGTACAGGAGTGATTGTAAAAAGGGAGTTATTCTCACCAACTACTGCGCATGCTGCAGATAGTGGATTTGCCGCCAAGGCCAACTGTCCGGCATACCAACCTGATGATGCTTTTTGAAGATGACACCTGGATGACACCTGTGGGGTGTATGGATTGGACTATGGGATGGGGTTACCAGGGGGAGGGAGTTGGGTCACATATTGATATTTTTGATTACACGTGCTTTTGCCTCAGACCTTGCTTTGCTTAGCTGCTATCTACTCATGACCAGTAAAAGTACTCTTAATTCTGCAAAATGGAGTTGAGTGGTTTCTTTCTTGGTTGCTGAGGGAGGCTGCCTTGACAGTCCCTCTCTCATTTCTCTCCCTCCCTCTCCCCCATATCTCTTTCTCTTCACCTCTCTTTCTCTCTCTCTCTCTCTCTCTCTCTCTCTCTCTCTCTCTCTCTCTCTCTCTCTCCCCCCCCCCCCCCCCCCCCCCCCCCTCGGCCTTCTCTCATGACACTCTTCTTTTTGGAAATCTGGGCTGGCTGAGGAACGATTGCCAGCTGTGGCAGAGAGTTCCCTTTGGGCGACCCTCCTCCTCTTGCAACACCCTGGCCAGCTGTGGCGGGGCCAGGAGGGTTCACACATGCGGGGAGACCCTCAAGCAAGCAGCCATCATACGTCCCTTTGCTCAACCAGCCCAGATTTCCAAAAAGAAGAAATAAAAGGAGTAGCAAAGTGCCCCAAGGAGAGCTTTCTAACTTGACCCAATCACAACTTTCCCAAAGAGAGAAAGAAGAGATGCAGAGAGAGAGTGCACAAGAGAGTTACACACCCACACATTGAGAAATGGGATGATCAGCTGATGGGCGAGCGTCTTTGGGGAAGGCTTTCTCCTAGCCTGAACACAGGGGTAGGTGTGTGAGGTTCAGTGGGGCCAACTCCCTTTTTTGCTGTCCTTAACCTTTTAAAGCCATGGCTGGGCACTGCTGGCCCGTCCCCCTTTCTGAAGTCCCATCCTCCCAGATCCCATTCCCATCCCGCCAGCCCTTCTCTTAGCGAGGCTGACATTGGCCGCACCAGGTCATGCCAGTGTCTTGGGTTGCATCTTCCCAGGCACGCTCAGCACCAAGGGCCGGAAGAAGCACCACAAGAGAGAGGCACTGGAGAATCAGCCCCATCCGCTTCTCCATCCACCACCATTGACCTTCTCAGGCCAGGGGAGGGCAAGGGGTGGGGCCAGCCAGTGATGGGACAGGGAGCCACAGCAGAGGGCGGAAAGAGCCACATGCGGCTCTGGAGCTGCGGGTTGCTGACATCCGTCCTAGCTAATAACTTTGTATACATGACAACCTCTAAATCAGAGGGTTTTTTTTAACAAGGGGTCCATAGTCGACAACCTGGATAGGAAAAGAAATTACTATTTTAGTTTTTTTACTAAACTAACTGAATTTAGGATTTAATTCAATAATAGGCGATAAGCAATTTATTGTCTCTAGATTTGAAAAATAATAAACTTCAATTATCTATCTAAAATATTTTGATAACTCATTTGGGTGCAGTTTTTCCAAAGAACAAATTTTTTTATGTTTTTCCCTTAAGGAATCAGCTTTCACCAGATTCTTAAAGGTTCTTTCGCTCAAAACGATTAAGAACTCTTTCTCTAAATAAATTATGCTGCTTTTTAAGTAAACATTTACTTGATTTTATCATCAGAAACTTAACATTGTTAACTTAATTATATAGCATCATTCTGTCAAGTTTAGTTTTGTCTTCCTGATTTAGGGTCTGAAGTGAAACAGACCACAGTTCTGGGAATATATTAAAAAAATGGCAACTCAAGGTATGGATTAGTATAATCCAGATGAAAATTAAATAAATTGTGATTACTTGGGTATAATCACCAATTTTCAGTTCTTAAAAATATCAAGAAATTGAATTTATATATGCAAGTACATATAAAATTCTGCTATCTTACTATAATTTGATGCTTAATGATGAACAGAACAAATACTTGTTCTGCTTTGCACCTTTGCAGAGATGCTAAGCCACCTAACCTTAAGTGAAATTTCAAAGTAACTCATTTAAAAACTTTTTTTTTAATGAAACATAGGTTAATGGGTAGGTTAACATTTAATGGGAAGAAGTTGTTTTGGATATGAAACAACAATCACAGGGTTCTACATATTATGCCACATTATTTCAGATCAGCCATGCTTTAGTAGAACTGAAATCTAGAACCTTCATTTTTTTTATTTCAAATAAAATGAAATCTGTATGGGGCAAAAAGGGCAAATCTTCTCCTCCCTTGTCTTTTTTTACTTGGCCATCACCATAAACATCTCTTACACCCCGAAAGGAAGTCACATAATTTATCACAAAAAGTTGTTTAAGACACTGAGCTTGTCCCCTAGCGCCACATAACAAAGTGAGCTCCCTTGTCCCAGCTTCTGCCAACCTAGCAGTTGGAAAACACATAAAAATGCAAGTAAAATCCATACCGTGTACGGGTTCTGGGAAGTCGGGGGGGGGGAGGGGGGAGGGGGGCTGGGGGGTGGAGGGAGGGAGGGCAAAAAAAAAAAATTGTACTTCAATGTTTTAATGATTGACGAATGATGAAATATTTGTGTTTTTTAAAAGAAATAAAACCTTTTTAAAAATAAAAAAAATGCAAGTAAAAATAGGGACTACTTTGGTGGGGAGGTAACAGCGCTCCATGTGGCTTTGGCATTTAGTCATGCCGGCTACATGACCATCGAAACGTTTTCGGACAGCGCTGGCTCTTTGGCTTAGAAACAGAGATGAGCACCGCCCCGAGAGTGAAAACAATTAGCATGCATGTACGGGGGAACCTTTATCTTTAATATATATTATTTCACTGTTAAAAGAGAATTTTACAAGATAATTTTTCCACTATCTTAAGAAAATTTATATATAGCATGCAATTTGTGTTTCTAAATTAAAATTGTAATAAAATTTTGCCAAATGTTTTCTGTTACTTTAGCAACTTGTTTTTAACCAATTTATTGCCAGCAGCTGATTTAATGGAGTTGGATATGGCAATTGAGCCAGACAGAAAAGCAGCTGTCAGTCATTGGCAGCAACAGTCATACCTAGATTCTGGCATCCATTCTGGTGCCACAACCACAGCTCCCTCTTT